TTCCGATCTCCCCAAAACCCCAAAACCCCATTAGGAAAAATCTGAGTTATAACAGGAGATTGTGAAATTAGTGAAAAATGAATTAATTAATTACGAAAATAATAATTATTTAATTATCCCAGAAATGGGGTTATACTGTAGAGTAGAGCCAGGTTGTTATCGCGGTTGTTGTTGACATATCTACGGTTGTAGATGACTCTGGTATTGTAGTAGCTGCCGATAGTGTTGTCGTTGGTTCAAGCTATGTTGTCGTAGGTGCTGTTGTTGTGGCTGCTTCAGTTGTGGTTGATGCTTGAGATGTAGTGGTCTATGCTTAAGTGGTAGTTGAAGGAGCATCTGTGGCTGTAGTTGATGGAGCTACAGAGACAGTTGTCGTAGGTGCTATTATCGTACCTTCAGTTGTTGTTGCTAAGATAGTTGTTGTAGAAGCTTCTGTTGTTGCAGCAGCTTTTGTAGGATCACACTTGAATGAATTCGCATCCCATTCAGTCAAACTAACTCTTGTAGCCATACAACGATAACCTGGCTCTACTCTACAGTTTTGATTGCAACTATTTTTCAATAATATGAGCACTAATCTTACCCATCGTTGTTCTCATAATTTCTATCAAGACATCTGTATCCAACCTCAAGGCATGATTAGTAGCATAACGAGTAGCTACCTAATTAATTGACGCAAGTCCACCCATATTTGACTCTACAGTTAGAATCGCATCTAGAGGAAAATTAGTTAAGAGAAATATGCTACCCTCCATTATTAGTAGTATCTTAATCGTCACACTCCTCACTGAGGGTCAAAACACCATCTTTATTACAATTTGGATTAGAGGCAGACTAAGTGGTGGCTGGAGCTGGACTCTGAGTAGGCAGAGCTTACTATAAATAGTTACAAATCTTATATATTTTACTTTGTAACTATAACCATTATAGCATTAAGGTACATAGACACTAGATATTAAAGACACAAAACAGAAATAGTCTTGATGGACTTTGCATTTTGCATCAATCCTGTAATGTTTTAGATTTAAAAAATTGTTACCCATCATAGGGATAGTTGTTATTATCCAAACATTAGCCTGCTCCATTATACATAGGTTAGAGATATTCCGTTGACTTTTATCCTAACTCTACGATGTAAGCAGCAGCTCCATACCACAGACCACAATTTGTATTGCAACTAAAACGTTATCATTAAATGGTGCAAGTACATACATTTATGAAAAAAATCCACCTCCGTCATCACATTCTTCACCGAAATCAATGACACCATTATTGCAAAGGTTACTTGCTGTAGATAGGCCGCGTCCAGCACTTGATTCTAATTCCCTTCGAGAATTTTAGTGATCTACAACTTTTTCTAAGTTTCTATGAGTAATGATATCTTTTGTGAGTGATTCCAAAGTTGATGGTTTAGACTATTATTTTCTGCATCTCATATCATACTCTTCATGCTCATTTTTATATGAAAAGCAACTAAATCCCTCTTCTACAAAGCAAAATGAATCACATCTATAAATCTATCATTAATATGCTTGATTATGAAATTAAGAGTTAAATTAGATTTAGTTTTATAATTTCAGTTCATCATCTTACCCATCTTTATTTTCATTATTATGGTCAAAGCATTTTTAACCCATAATCCCGCATCTTCTAAAGCATTTTGATTCTTGCCCTAAATTTGTTGTGCACATATAGCCATCCTATATTTTGCATTATTCGTTGCACCCACCATTGTGAAGCATATTTCCATCATCACATTCTTCATCGATAGATCTTGAACTATCTTTTTTGCATTAGACTGAGTCCATATTTAAAAATCTCGAGGTTGAATCCTAAGAAATAAAATTTTTGAATGCTTATCTTACATCCATAGTCTATGTTCTTTTAAAGCATTAGAAAACTCCAGATTTTTAATCACTTATACAATAATAGCCTTTTTCTGTCTTGCAATCACTGTCACAACTATATCATAAGTTATTTTCATGATGATTATAGAAAGAAAAAATATGTCTTACCCATCTTTTGATTAAAAATTAGAATCTAAACATCTTCCTTCAAAAAGACATGAATTTTGTAGTATTCTGCTGTTTTAAGATTAGAGGATCAAAGTATATGAATTTTCAATGAGACAAGCTGAATCACAACTAAAAGAATAAATAAAGAAAATTCTAACCCATCATCGTTTATTTGATTTCCATCATCGCATTCTTCCCCCATTTCTAGAATATTGTTTCCACAAAATTCTACTTTCTTTTCTTTGTTGATTGATTGTGCTGATGACTTGCAAGTAAATTCCCCATTTTCAGAATCGAAGCATACATATCCGATTTCCACTTAGCAGCTTTCATCACAACTATACCCAAAAGTATTCTTATAAGGTCAAGAGAGTAATCAATAGTAAATTTAATATAAAATAAATAACTACTTACCCATCTCCACTGACTTTGTTTCGGTCTCTGCAAGTTTATAGGTTCGCCGAATCACAATTTCTACTGCATTTTGTGCTCTGCCCTAATATTTGCTTGCAGTAATACCCTTCCTATATTAGGCAATCGCTGTTACATCTGTAAGAGTTCAACATAACATTTATTACCCTTAATTGAATATAGTACCTTAATGCCAATTATCACATTCTTCTCCATGTTCTTGTTTTCCATTTAAGTTACAGTTCTATCAAGCAATAGAAAAGCTGTAGTTCAGTAGTGAACCGAGTAGGACAATTTTGAAGTAGTTCAAAAGTTGAGAAGATTTCATTTAATTTTGGAAATTATCAAGTTAGCTTTGATTAAATCAATAGTTTAAGTAAAGTTTATGTTAATTTACGAAGAGGTGTTAAAATCGATTTAAAAGTATGATTTATATGAATATATAATAAGAAATATTATTGTAATAAATAATTTTTATGATATTGCTTTTATTTCAATTGACATTAATTTTCAAATCTTTA